CCGAAGAGGTGGCCTTGGTGTGATAAAACAATGAGATGCGCAGGAGGAAATGTACATTGAGAACGGGATGTGATTGGTTACTACACAGGCTAGCAATTAGACATCACTTCTTTGCAAATAGAGTAGTCCCTGCATGGAACAAACTACCAGCTCGAATAGTTGATTGTCCTACAATGAAGGCTTTCGAACTTGAGCTGGACAAGGAGTGGTGGTTTTTACCAGTACCAGGACACCCAACAGTCGAAGGCCTCTCTACGTCTTGTGATTTCAATTTGAATTTGAATCGAAGAAATCGGCTTTGGTTTAACGGTCGACAAGAAGTCGAAGCTCCGAGTGACGTGTTTCTGACTGGAGCAGGAATCTGGACGCTCGATGGGCAAAAGCCTTTACCGTCCTGTGCAACCTGACCTGACCTGACCTGACCTGACCCAGAAAACTCTGCACAACGAGATAAAAAATCCTGGAAACTAACCATGACAAAATCTTCGAAACTTCTAGACTTCAAGACCTTACCGTCGTCAAATTGAAGCACCGAGAGATCCAATATTCCACCAGAGAAAGAAAATGGACAATGTGGCTTCTCGCTGTTAAGTCCTGGATCACTGAACTGAACTGAACCTTAGTTGTTTTAACGCATCTACTAGTATTTCAAGGTCCCCTATCTGGAAATGACGGCGGAAGGAGCATTGGAGATAGATCTGTACGATAATATCGACGAGGATTTTGTTCAAGTAATGCATTTTGACTGGTGTCTTACGTCAGGAGTGCTCTGACTTCGCAGAACTTTATGATGATGTTATAACGCCTTCGTTCAAGACGTCTCGGACCGAGACTACGGTTTCAACGCAATCATCGTCTTCCGTGAGTCCTTAAAATAAGTTCGGAAATATCAACCATTTAGAGTTCGAAAGCAGCACTTTCCTCCTCCAACCATTCTGGTAAAAGAATAGCTTTGTATGTTGGTCATCTGACATGGGTAATGCGATTTGGTATAATTTTTACGGCCTGATAGTGGACGACCGATCAGGATTTAATGGAAGCAGCTAATGGTGTTGGCATCAACGATATTCTTGAAATCAAGTTTCATGAAAATCGACAGAACGGACAATCTAAAGGGTATGATTTTGTTGGTTTCTGAATCTTGCAGGTTTTGCGTCATGGTTTTCGGGTCAGATCAGTCGGTACGCTTAGCTCTGGAAAAGCTCCCGAAGATTGAAATTCATGGTCAAAATCCGATGGTGACTCACTGTACCAAACAGAATCTGAATCTTTTCGAAAAAGCCGCCGGTTCGGACGCGCAATCTACTCCTCGTACCCGCTCTGATGAGGTGTTTTCGTCTAAGATGTCTGGTTCCTCAAGTCGGTTTTGTCATTGTATTGCTTATATTTTGATCATCTAGGTAACTCGAACTCTGCATCTCGTGTTCCGCCACCGCTGATGGCTACACCGACAATGCCAGCATCACTCGGATTCAGTTTGCGTAATAACTCTTCACTAATGGGTCAAGCAATCACCAACATACGTCAGATCGGAAATTCGGTGACAACCAGTCTGCAACAAGCCCTGGCAAGCCAGTCGATGCAAAATGCAAATCAGCAACTAAGTCAACTGTCAAATGCCCTCCCTACAGCAACTAATGTGCTGGTCCCCCCCGTTGTCCCCCCCATGTCCCTCACTGGAAGCAATTCCATTCTCCCGACTGCATTCGGTCTACAGAATACATTGCCTACATCTTTAGCCAATGCAGCCCCCCATGTAACTCCTAGTCTCATACCGCAGCCCGTTCCAGTCCCATCGGGTGTGCCTCCACCACTGATGCAATTAAGTACTACGGGAAATCAGTCGTCCATGAGGCCGCAGCATTTCGACAACTATGGAAGACCCGTAATCCATACATACACGCCGTGTAAGTGACATTTTATTTTATTTTTTTATTACACATGAGTGTGATGAACAGCAGACGGGCGAACTCCACGTGCTGTTCAATGATTTCAACGGGCAACCTAAGCCCCGGGGCTTGGAGTGGTGAACCACATAAGGCCCCGATAGGTTAGGTGTGATAGTGCACCGGACAACAGCAGAGCTGCCTACCTCCAAAATCGGGTGGCAGTGGCGGGGTTCAAACCTCACCACAGGGTCCAAAGCATGACTGACTAAACCACTGCGCCACTACCACCCTCATTTTATGATTTAGCTTGAGTTCACTTCGGTTTTAAGATTGCTTCATTCAGTAACCTCATCAGGCGAAAATTTCCATGAATTAATCAGGCTGGGCATCAAGGTAATCAGCAGGTTCATAAACAGCTTTCTAACCCCGGCTAAGTTAATTGATACTCAATTAATCGTCGATTTGGGCAGGTCATTTACAAACTTTTCAATGCCCAATGCGAGTGCTTGACCGATTGTCTGGATGTTAACTCAGGTGAAGTTTAATTGCTAAACGACAGATGCTACTGTGCCCCGCTGAATTATTTTTCGAGTTAACCGTGACTATCATTATCATCATCATGACCAGTAGTCTAACCCAGATTTGTTCGGCAGTCCATTGGTTTTCAGTCTCAACGTTCGTGGATTGCCCTTCCATGTTGAATGCTTCCCCTTTCAACCGATAGTTTTGATTTACCCAAAAGTTTATTTTTATATGGTAGTCTTTTGTGGTTGGTAGTTAGACTTTCATCGCCCTAGTTAAAATTCGGAATAGGCAGCGTGGTCCTCATTACTCTGCGCAACAACCGATGCAGTAAAGGATTGTTTGTGCTTGCATTGGTTTGATGACTGGGTGACCAGCCACCATGCAAGGGAGCGATTTTTTATTGCATCGTAGTGTGATAAACAACAGGTGGGGTAAACTTCATCTCATGGCGACTGAACACATCTTCGACCCAAAAATGTCGTTCAAGCCGTTTTTACGTAACTAACGAGGCGATGCCGATCAAGTTACGTAACCCAATCTTGTGTGCACAAAAGTTTCTTACTCAATCAGTCAGACTGTTATGGAACTGATTTCCCACCCCACCCTCCCCCGCCTCCCTGACTATTGTCCGTTTTACCACTGTAGTTATCAAAACTTGCTTGTATAAACCTCTTAGTTACGATCCTGTTTACACTTGCGAACAACAGGTCACTATGGTATCTTTCCCGTTTGTTGTTCATCGCATGAGGGTGTGTAGTTATGACGATTGTGGTGATAATGAAAAGGCTGTTGCGTTGTTCGGGGCATGTGTTGCGTATGTCACCAGATAGGTTGCCACGCCGCGCGATGTTCACCAAAGCTGGTAGTGGTTGGAAAAAGCCAAGGGTGGTCTACCTAAGACCTGGTACGAAGGTACGAAAACCCTATCCCGCGGACTGAGTCACAGTTCCCGTTAAACTCCCTGGCTGGGACCTCGAGATAATCATAAACGATGTTTAAAGATGCTGAGTGTCGTAAGCAGTGGCGTTCGTGCATCTCAATTTCTTTGCAATCTCAGACTACAAATTTTCCGTTTTTCGGTCGTTTCCACTTTCGGCTTTCCTGTCTTTCTCCTACTGTTCATTCAAA